AAGGGGGTGGGCGGGAAGGGATCTGCCTCATCCGCGGCCTCCGATCGCACGAGGGCTGCGAACCCCACGCCCCGGGCGGAGGGGAGCAGGAAAGGGCTGGGGAAACCTTCAGGCTTTCCGAAATAAAAGATGGGGACACAGGGGCGCGAATCTGTTCTTTGGTCTTCTCTGGAATGTGTTGAAGAAATAGCAGGCAACTGCCTGCCTCTGCGGTTAAATTAGTATGTGGGGAAAAAGCGTCTTCAGTGAGGGCTACTAGAAATAAAGAGATTATATTTTAGAATATATATATACGTATGTTTAATCTCAGCTGTGGTCTGGAGTGGGGTAGTAGCAACAGCATTTGTCAGGAAACAAGATGAAAGTAAAAAGATGTCAATTGAAGACACATTCGGATTGATTATTCAGATCAATAGTGCAGGCAAGTAAAATGGGACTGTGTAAACTCTCTGGACCTTAGTCCATGGGGTAACAACAGTCCTGGTGGTACAAGGTAAAATCCGTATTTTCTACTCTCTGTTGAAAGTGAGTTTGTTATTCAGCAAATACTTGAATATTCTCATGCATTCATCCAGCTTGTGACTGTTGTGGGTTTAGGTAGCCCATGAACTCAGGAGAGCAACCAAGGAAAAAGAAGCATTTTTAAAGCTAATGAATGAGATAAAAGGACCAAAGCTACTTATTGCAACACTAAAAAGAAAATCACAGAATTGTTAGGGTTGCAAGTGACCTCTGGAGATCATCCAGTCCAACCCCCTTGCTAAGGCAGGGTCACCTGGAGCAGGTGACACAGGAACATGTCCAGGTGGGCTTAGAATGTATCCAGAGAGGGAGTCTCCATGACCTCCCTGGGCAGCTGTTCCGGTGCTCTGCCACCCTCAATGTACAGAAGTCCTTCCTCATGTTGAGGTGAAATTTCTTGTGTTGTAGTTTATGGCCATTGCTCCTCATCCTGTTGCTGGGCACCACCAGAAAGAGTCCAGCACCCTCCTCTTGGCACCCACCTTTGAGATATTTATATGCATTAATGAGATCCCGTCTCAGTCTTCTCTTCTCCAGACTAAACAGGCCCAGCTCCCACAGTCTCTCCTCAGCAGAGAGATGCTCCAGACCCCAGAGAAGGGAACTTGTAACATCTGGTTTGTTAGTGCTTTTAAAGGTGCCCCATTAGATGCAAAATGCTGTAGAAGAACCTGGTACCAGTTAAAACACAGAGTGGACAAAAGAGGAAAAGCTTTGATTAGTGAAATGATGGAGAAAACCCTCCCAAACACACATGGTTTCTTTGGATGGGGAGGAAAGTACCCTCTCAGCTCAGCCCCAGGACTGGGCCCTGGGCACATCAGCAGCTGAGATTGTCCCAGTCCCTTGCGTTTAACAGGAGAACCACATGCTAGGTTGTTAAGAGCAGTCATTAATAGCAAATTACAGGGTGTTCCTCAGCTCTTTTCCTCTTTTCCTTTCTTTTTTACACAGTATGAGAAGCAAACAAAAGCTGTGAGTGAAATTTCCTGCTCTACCGCACAGCAATCCTGGCACCACCTATTACAGACCTTTGTTATGCAGAAGATAATTCACACCAAGTTCCTGTGCCCCTTGCTCTTGACATCACCAACAGCTGTTTTCTGATCTCCTGTGGAAATGCACCATTTTCTTAAGCTGATGAGGCAATATCCTACCTGCCTTGAAGAACACAGGAATCCTGGCACTTGGGAGGATCAATGTCAACAGAGAGGTCTCTGCTATCCAGGCTGGGTGCTCATGTCTTGGCACGGATGAGAGCGACATTCACAGTGGCAGAGTGAAAGTAGAAAAACAGTGGTAACAGTGGCAAATGGAAGTATTGAGCTGTGGCTCTTGTAGGGACAGACACACACACACCCCTCCCCACCTGCATAAACAGGTGGCCTTGCGGACACCAGAGCTTGGTGCCACCCAGCACACTGATTTTCAGTATCCTTTGAAGGAAACTGTGTTTCCTCATCTGAGCACTTATTTGAAAATATCAAAACTCAAATGAAAACCCATAAAAATGGATCAATTTGAATCCCTGTGCCAGTTGTTCCCAATCACTAACACTGCTCTGAAGAGTGCTCTATCTTCATTCTCTATCCTTCCTTCTATCTATTCTTCCATTCTCTATCCTTGAAGGACCTTCACACAGGTGAATGGATCTATAGTGACAGGTCTTTAGACATTTACCAGTGCAGAAACCTCAACCTAGTTCATGGACTCATTCCTCTAAACCAGGAAGTAAGAATGTCTCCTGCTTTGATTTTCTTCCCTTTGTGTCATCTAATCTCTATTTACCAATCTTCCTGATCCAATTAGAGGCAATAAAACATTATATGTCTTACACCACCTATTTGCTTTTGTCCTTGGACCAAAAGGGCCCCTCCTTTTCCCTTCTCAGTCCATGAGATGACGGAGTGAACAGCAGTACAAAAACACCTGCTAGTTGCTGATTTTGGAAGGGCCTGCAGAGAGGCCTAGGGCAGCACATCACATCACTTTAACTGTAGCATCTACAAATCCTTGACATGAGCTGTGAACGTCTGACATTCCCCATGGTGCTTAATGCATTCACCCTCTTCTACAGACACACAGTTACCTCACATCTGGCCATCTCTGACATTAAAAGCTTTGGGAGCTATCATTCCCCTGATACTTGTCCAGCATGTTTCAGCTCTTCAGAGTCCTGCAGTCCCTCCTCCTCGTTGCTGGGCACAACCCTGGGACCCTTCTTTGCCTCTGTGCCCAGAAAGGTGTGGCACCAGCCCACAGTCAGAAAACTGACTGTCCAGAGATCTCTGTGTGTAGCTGTCCTCTCTCAGCTGAATGTGCAATGCTTTCCCTCATCACCTTTGGCCTTCCATACCAGCTTCCTCAAATTATTATAATGATCTAACTTGCTAAAATTATAAAAGGGAACTAAAATGCAGTAAACACGCAAGGTCTTGCTTTGGTACACCAAGCTTTGTCATCCTTTTGATTTATCTTGTCTAAAGCAGCTTCCCCCTGCTTCTGCTGGCATTCTGTTCATTACAAATCTGCTATTGCCATGACCATGTATGCATTTCCACCAGCAAGAATACAGCCATAGTCTTTTGCCTGCTCTGTTCCCTAATCCCTGCCTAGAGTACAAATACTGTTCTGGTAATCTATGAATGCTTTCACCTTTGCAATCCTCAGATGATTTCCAAGCAGCAACACATGAAAGCAAAAAGGTAGCTCTGGACAAGACTTGGCCACCAGATACCAACTATAGGAAGCAACTGCAATCACTTTATCTCATGGCAGATCTCCAGTCTGAGGTGGACGTTGCACATAGTGCAAGGGATTAACAGCATCTGTGCTCACTGATAAAATGCATCTGTTGGAGGATGAACATCTTAAAGACAAAGCACTGATATGGGGTCTAAATGCAGCCATTGAAGCCCGAGCCCCACAGAGAGGGTGGGGGCCAACCTGCAGTGCTGCAAAGCCCGATTGTGCCATGTTCCCTCACACCAGACACAGGAGACATGAACACATAAAAAAAATGGCTTTGGACTCTTTTGACAGCTTCCCCCTGTTCAATAGCAAGAGTCACAAGATCACTGCAGAGTTGTGATCGCTTTGATACAGGGAGGTGGCAATGCCGGCACCTTCCCTTAGCTGCCAGCTCTCTCCCTGAGATGTGAAGGTCCAAACCTCTGCTCTGCCTTTGAGTCAGCCTCCTACAGAGACTGTGGACAACATGCTGAGCACAGGGGACATCCTTAGACAAACGTCTATGCTGGCCCTGGCAAGACAGGCAGGGAGAAACAACTCCATGGTCATGGTGCAAGATGGGCACCACATAGCTTTGCTCTTACCCATTTGGCACCACCATAGTTATCTGGAACCTTGACTGGTGGAAACCAAAGACCCTGGAAAGGTCAAGTGTCACAGGGAAAAGGATGGCCCACAGGTTTTAATGGCCAACACTTTGGGCTTGGGGCAAAGAGTCGCCCACATCCTCTTTATAACCATAATCCCATGAGGCTGTCACAAAAATAGTGACAATCACCTGAGTCCTCTGCAGGTCTCCCAGCTGTCCAGCCTCCCCAGCTACAGAGGTTCCCCAACATCAACACCTTCCCACTTTTACAGACAGTTCTAAATACCAGCTAATTATTTTTTTACAGCCGCATTGGAGGTATGCTGGGTAATTTCATATGATTGTTCTCATACTCAAATGGAGAAGATGATCCAGGGAGTGAAGTAACTTCCCTGAGGCCGGAGTGAGTCAGTTACTTTGTCAGATCTGTGTCCCTCTAAACACGGACATTTCTGAAAGGCTTTTTAAACCATAGGAATGTTATAAAAATAGGTACAGAGAGAGGTGAACAGCCAGCACAGAACTTCATAGGCCTTTGCAGAACTGGCCTTCCTTCAGGGATCAAGGTTTTGTTAAAGCAGTGTGTTACCAAAGCAGCAGGCTCTGCAAACTGTTACTTACCAAGCACTGAAGCCTTCACAGTGAAGGTCTGGTGAGCCTGAGACCTCTCAGCTCATGACACAAATGGCTTTGAAGCCATGGGGACAGGCAGGACAGGCTGATGGCTGGCAGTGCCTGGGACACTGCAGGACCCACAGCTGGTGCCACTGCTCCTCTCTGCATGGGGTGTTGTGCGATGGGGTGGACGAGCCACGTGAGCTCTGCATCCAGGTGTTCTGTGGCAAAGGTGGCCATGCCATGCTGTTGCTGTACCCAGAATGTGTCATGGGACAGGAGCCTGGTGCCATGTGACCACTGTGAGTGGGACACTTTGTGGAACAGGTGACTTGTGTGTCGCTCCTTCCTTACCAGTGAGTCAGTGCCAAAAGGTGCCCCAAAGACAGCACTCCATAGGTAGGAACCAAACTGGCTGCACTGCAGCACACTCTCCAGGACCTGCAAGTCCATCCTGGATTTGAAGGGACAGGGGTTGTCTGCAGAGGCCCAGGGAGCTCCTCTGGGACCCTCCGTGGGAAGGACATGGACATGTCTTACAGTGCAATTCCCTCCTCAAATGCCAGCCACCTCTCTGCAAGCACAGGGTGCTGCATATTAGCTTCAGATCTATTTGCCTCAGCTCTTTCAAGTGACAGATTTTCGCAATCCCCTCTTGTCTGCTCTAAAAGGAGAAGTAAATCCCGTATCAATGGCAACCACAAGAAGCTGGTATAATTTTGAGTGCATGTTTTCAAAGACGGTGACAAAGATACTCAGCCTTGAAGGATAAGGGTGTGTGGGCAGTGAGGTTTGCTTTGCTTTTATCTTGGACAACACTTTTCAATGCCTGGTGCCTCAGCAGCTGCATTTCTGACCCTGGGGAGTTATGACTCACTGTTTGCAAATCCCTGAGCCACCAAATTGAAGGTATGCCTCACAAAGCACGATCCTAAACTGAAATGCTTGTAGGTGGGTGTTACAGTTTCAGTTACTCTGTTCCAGAACTCAGGGCTGGCTCCATATAGGTGCCCAAATTTCTGGCAAATAGAAATCGGTATCTCTTGCTTTGTTTAGATAAGCAGGATCTCTTTGGGCTTCTCTCCTTCAGTGAAGTTCTCAGCCAGTCTGCGAGCAGTCAGGCTACAAAAGAGGCATTATCCCATCTACACCAGCACGATGCCAGCCTAAGGAACATCTGCTCTGCCTGACCTGCACTCCTGCCAAATTGCTTCAGACACCAGGGCCATCCCAACATCAGAGCTGGGGCTGGCCTGCTGGAGGCTAAGGCTGTCTGTTTTAGCTGCTTTCTGGGTAACCTGTGTGAGGTTAAGTGAGGCACTGGCTGCCATCCTTTCTGTTGGAGTGGATCGGTTCTGCCGGCTCAGCAAAAACCAATGCAAACATCTTATCAAGTATTTCTTAGCAGGAAGGCAGGAGAGCTATTTGTGAGAAGCTCGAGACTTTCAGAGAAAGGAACAATAACAAATGATCAAAAGATCCTCACATTTCTTTTTTGCTAGATCACTGGTGTTTTTCTTATCAGGAAAGTGATTGCATTCACTGCTGCAGACCAGCGCTGTTCATAGAGGGTTAATGCGCCTTCTCTTTGGGTCACACATCAAAAGACCTGTGATGGAAAGGAATCACCAACAGCCATCTGGCAGGGCATGATGAGATTGTCTCTGGGGAAGGGGCCACTGCTGACCACCACACACATGCACGCTGAGGTCCATGAAAAGCCAGGCTTGGGTCAGAGGTTTTGATTCAGCCTGGCAGGGGCTCAAGGGCTGCCTTTGCAAGAGAAATGTATATCCCAGCTGGCACTTCACAGAGCATCACCCAGGGAAGCCTCTGCCAGCAGATTACAAAATTTAGTAACCTGGTGAGAAATCTGCATTATCTCACAGCAAGCACTGCCTGAACACAGGGCTCCTGGAGGGAGCAGAAGAGCTGTCAATCTGCAAATGACCCCCTCTTGCTGCTGTCAGTGAGATCCTCAACTTCCCGCTGGCTGTGGCAGATCCTGCAAAACTAAGGCTTTAAAATCCACGTTTAAACTCTACAAGAACAACAGGCTTCTAAGCAGGTACACCAGCAAGTGCTTTCCTTTCCAAAAAGAAGCTGAGAAAGAGGAGTCGCTTCATGCAAAGATGGAAACTCAGTTATTGTACTGTGTGGCCAGTGACAATTCCTCGCCAGGCTTCACTACCACTGAGGACAGGATCATGGCCCAGGGACTGTGCTGTACTCAGGTGGGTCCTGGCACCACAGGACCTTAAAAGGGTCAGAAGGAAAAATGTAATAGCACTTATAGAGAGATGGGCACTAAGTCCCACTGCAGTCCCGTGGCACCTGGGCACTGCACCACTGCACACCCTCTCCCTCACCTCTCGTTCTTCACCCCGAGGACAAAGCACCTCCTGAAGTGACCCCAGGAGAGGCCCTGCACGCCCCAGAGCCTGGCAGGCGGGGGGACGGCGATGACAGCGGGATGACACAGTGAAACCCGCAGATCCTGCAGCGCGAGGTGCCCGTTACCACGCAGGGCCGGGCGGCTGTTGCCCATCACAAGCGGCCTGGGGGTGCCGCCTCACCGGGGGCTTCTGCCAGGATCCTGCGGGAGGGAGCGAGGCCCTGCCCGGCGTTAATTGATTAATTGTTGTCACCAAGGTGCGGCCGCAGCGATCGGGGCGGGGCTCGGACATGCCCCGCCCCCGCTGGCCACGCCCCCGCGGGGCTCCGGGGCGCCCCCTGGCGGCGGCGCGGGGCCATGGCAGGGAGGGGGACAGGGCCGGGGGACGTGGCCGGGGGACAAGGGGGAGGCTTTTTGTCAGCCCTCAGAGCTGCAACCGGCTCCATCGCCCGCTCAGAAGTGGCACCGCTGCCTGCAACTGCCCGCCAGGAGCCCGGCACAGCCAGTCCAGGTCAGGGAGCTCAGCACCAGCCACTCAGGTGCTCCTGCCTTGATTCCAGTGCGGGCTCTTTCATTGCATTTGTCCCGATGTTTTTCTGCTATCGCCACCGACCCTGGGGAAGACGAGCAAATGGAGAGGTGTGGTTCTGTGCCAGGATGCAATTCAGCTGCTGCCCCAAGAGCCAGAATGTCTCTGCTCTGCCTATGGCTGGGACCCCCAGCCGCCTCCTCTGGAGCCTGGAAGGACAGCCAGGAGCTTCTCTGTCCCCCTGGTTCTCCGTGAAGGGCAGCATTTGTCTTTTCAAACCAGGACGTGCAGCCCGTCCTCCTCTCTCCTCCTCTTTGACAGTCCATCGAAGGCATTTTCAAGCTGCAGGGCGATGTGAACAGGCCACTCCAGGGTTGGTTTGAAGGGGGTGTTGCACTCAGGTCCTGTCTGCACCAGGAAATACTTGAGTGGCAGCCCTGATTACACCCTCATTTTTTAATATAGTTAAACCAGCACTCTTCCCTCTATCCAAAACGAGCCCTGATCCTGTGACAAAATCCAGACCCACCCCAGCCCAAAGCGAGTCCCCTCGAGTGGACCACATACCTTGCTCAGGCTCTGTGTTTCAGCTGCACGTGTGTAGCAGATTTTTTCCATTTGCAGCCAGTCACTTCCAGCCTATGGCTATTTCAGTTACATTTCTTGGAAGTTTTAAAAACAAAGTTAAAAGTAATTTTTAAAGTGATGGAGTCTCCTTTTTGCTTGAATTTTTTCTTCCTTATTGCAACAACACTCATCACACAGTGGTCTCACTTCCTTACAAAACTCAGATACTGTGCCATTTTCTTCCAGCAGGTTTTCTCTGTGTGCTTCCCAATGCTTTGTACAATTGCTGTGCACAGAGAGAGTTTTCTTCACTAGTTTTTGAGTCTTGTCACCTAACATGGAGAGGAAAACAGAATTTTTTTTAAAAGTAGTAAGACATTATTTTAAAGAAAGGTGAGCACTGTAAGGGTGAGGGTGTTAACTGCAGATACCTAAAGTAACTTGGAAAAAAAAGCCCATGAGCAGAGTGTGCCCCATCACCACTGTCTGTGAAGGCAGGACACATTTCCAGTGCAGCCGGCCAAAGCACAGGAGCCAAGCCCCAGCCAGCCCCCTCCAGGCCCACCACTCCCATGGAAATCTCAGGCGAACCCCAAACAAGAATAACAGTGTGTTTTGCTTGGCAGAGGCTCAGTGTGAGTTATGCTGACTAGCTAAAAAATGAGGTTGTAAAAATAATGAAACTGGAAGACTGTTTTTTCTCTCTCTCCCCAGCTGCTTTTCGAGTGCCTTAGCAAGGCTAAGCGAACTCTGCTGTGTTCTCTCTGTGCTCTCATGGCTGGCAACTGCAGCACCTCGCTTGGGACTGAATACAGAGAAGTGCCCTCTGCTTCCCACTGGTAGCCAGAAGGCTGTTTGATTTCACGTGAAACACCAATAGAATCTGAAACAGGGAGTTTTCTTCTCAGTCATTAAGACTGAGAGCCACGTGCCTGTGTGTTTTCCAGGATCACTGAGAGATTTGTGTTAAAATCTGCAAGGTGTTGCCAGGATGACTTCTGCTACACATCCACAGGCCTGTTTAATATCTCCTGCCCCTGACTTGGGGTTCTTTGAGAGCAACACAATTACCTCATGGTCCCTGCATATTCCTGATGCAAGCTCCCTGCTGGTGTGAGGATCACACCAGGATAAATCCTGTTCCCTGCTGCTACAGGCTTCAGTGTGCTCCTGTGGCCACAGCCAACCCGCTCCTGCTGGAAAACAACTTCTCCTTCCCTCCCTGAGAACAAATTGCTCTGACGGATGACACAGCTCTGAGTTTGGCATCAGCCCTGTAAAAACAGAGGAGTGTAGGGTTTTTCCTGGGGTGCAGTTCTGTCCGTGGCTGATCCTGCCACAGGCATTTACTAGACCACTCTCGTGCCTCAGCCCTGGCAGACGGCTGGGCTGGCACTGGCTTCACCGTGGCTGTTCCCCTCCCACTGCTCGGTGGCCCTGAGGGTGACACGCTCTCTCCACAGCACACCGGGAACTGGGGAATTACACTGGATGGCAGCAGGGCCTGGTAACCTCTCTCATGCTGCTTCCCGATCCACAGCTCTCTGGGGCAGTACTGCTGGGGGGGACATTCCTCCCAGTGAGCGAATTAAAAAAAAAAAACAACACATAAAGACAGAAAAATAAGCGGCTCTGGGCTTCTGGCTCTTGCTGTTGCTTGGCAGCAGGCCTGGGTGGCCAGATCTGCACACAGACGCTGCAGCCTGGGACAATTAGGAAGCAGAGGGTCCCACAGTGCTTCTTGCCTGCAGAAGCAGCTCGTCCCTGCTCAAACACACCATGCAAGGTGTCCCCAAGCTGTCCCAGCCACCACCACCAGCACACCCAGCCAGGGGCCACAGGCAGCTGTGAATGAACACGAATGCATGAACAGCCTGGCAACGCTCACAAGGCAGCGGCGAGAGGGGCCTGCAGAGCCAAGCTCAGCCTTGAACAAGCCCAAAGGCAGCAGCTTTTCAACCTAAAGATAATTTTAGCCTATGTGGTAGGGCTGAAGTCTTGAAGCAGATGCTGTGCAGGCTCAGCATGACTCAATTATCACAATTAGAAATGGATCCAAACACGGGGTTAGTGTACAACAGCCTGGTTCAGAGCTCGCTGGGGTCTGGGATGGGTCAGATGCTGAAACTTGCATTCGCCAGCAGGCTCAAATCCAGCCTCTGGGATGAACCCATAGGAGAGCAACCTTTGGCCCAGGATGTGACAAATGAAGCCCAATTATCTCCAGACACAAGGGACATGTGCATTTATTTCTTTCCCTCCTTTTGCCAGGAGAAATTGCCCTGAGGGAGAGAGGGAAATAAAAGCTTGAGCTGCATGTGTTATTAAAGAGGCCAACTGGAGTTCATTTATTCCCTGTGACACATGGAAGGAAGGACAGTGACAGCCGTTCCTAGCAGAGGAACTTTCCACAGAAAACCCAAGCTGGACAACTGGAGGGAGTCCCCAGATGTTGCACCACTGGCCAGCCTTAAATTAGAGGTGGCTGCTTCACTCAGCCCCTCACGTTTCACATTTGTTTCCCCCTGAACATGCCTACTCAGTTCTGGGGCCCCAAAGCCTGGCTCTTTGGAGAAGAGGGCCAAGATAAACAGGCTTTTCCTGGAGAGCAGAGGGACCTGGAACACTTCCCTAGCTGAGGAGGTGGACACCCACCCCTGCAGCCATGTCCTGCTGTGCTGCTGGAAGATAGCACTGCTGTCACCCAAAACACAGTGACAAAACTACCTGCTTGTACCAGGCCAGCTGCCAAATTCACAGGGCTGGTGCCTAAATAAATCAAAAGGAAATGGAAGTCATTTGCCAAGAAAATTTCCACGATAGGAACTGGGGGGTGGTGTTGAGGGGAGAAAGGGAAGGCCAGTTAAGAAATTATGCTGTTTTGAACATATCACACCAGGAGACACCCCATTTTATTTAGCCTTTGCCAAGGGGCTATTTGACTCCAGATCCAAGCACATAATTTAGGAAATCCCCTTCCGATACTTGGCAATCTCAGGCCAAATCAGAGAATTTGCTCTGTGACTCATATTAGGATCTCAAAGAAAGGTCGAGTCCTGGATCACATTATGCAAACATGAAAGGTCTGTTGTCCCACAGGGCTCACAGGCAAAAGCTCTGCTCCAGCAATCATGGCAGACTATATCCGTTCCTTGCTTTTATCTGCTTTAGATGTTTGGGAATAAAGTGTCAATCACCTCTTCCCTGGTCATGTGTTAAACCACTAACATTTTCCTTTCTCCAGCTGTTCTTTAAGTCAGTTCAGGGCTGGTTACCATGCCTTTGTTGCCTGCAGCACTTCTACTGTGGCATCATCTAGCTGTCAATTATCAGTGCTTTTTAGCAGAAGATTTGGGCTCAGCTTAAAATCTACTTGTGTTAAACTCCACCATCCAGAGCAGTAGCGACCTGTCTGCCAAGCCACCCAGACAAACTGTCCCAGTTTGAGGCTCAGGGTAATAAAAGCATCAAACCCCATCCCAGTGCTACCCATCCTGATAGCCCCTCTGTGCCATCCCATGCCAGCCTTCCACCAGGATTTACACCTTAGGCCCCTCGAAGATGCTGCTGCCGGAGCCCTGTCAGGAACTGGCTGGTGCTAAAAATGGGGAGACAACTGAGCTGCTTCGGGCCATGGCTGGAGAGGTGGCTGAGGAGCACGTGAAAGCCCTGAGCATCTCAGATTATTTGTTATCGTTGTTTTTCTGCTCCTTTTCAGGCAAAAAGGTGGGAAACCACAGCAGGGCCCAGCAAACCCTTGACTAGCCCCGAGGCCTGCAGGCTCATTAGGGGTACGGGCCCAGCGTACCGCGGGAACCCCTGAGCTCGCCGCCGGAGCCTGGGTGCCGGGAAGCTCCGGGACTGTGAAAACTCGGAACCATCCCCGGGGCTCTGCAGGAGCGCGCCCAGCCCTTCTCCTCAGGCACCGCAGAAGGCGGGGAGGGGGGGCGGGCCTCAAGCGCCGCTGGGCGCCGCCATCGCGAGCCTCCTCCTCCCACTGGGCGCCGCCATCTTGTGCCCTGCCCGTACAGCGCGGGCGCCGCCATCTTGTGCCCTCCCCGCGGTGTGCCGGCCATGGCGGGGCTGCTGTGCCGCCTCCTGCTCCTCTGCCTGGCGGCCGCCGGGGCCGGCGCCGAGCTGCTGCTGGAGGAGGCGCGGCGCTCGCTGGACCTCAGCACGCACCTGGCCAAGGTCTCGGCGGAGCTCAGCCTCGCCAACGCGGCGGGCGGCGCGGCCGCCTCCTCCTTCCTGCTGGCGCTGGAGCCCGGGCTGGAGCCCCGCCTGGCCCACCTGGGCGTGCAGGTGAGCGCGGCGAGCGGGGGCCGAGCGCCGCTCCCGGGGGGCCGCGGTGTGGCCGCGGGCGCTGCCCGGCCCCGCGCCCGCAGGGACACGTCGGCACTGCCGGGCCCCGCAGCGCCGCTCCCGGATCCCACAGCGCCGCTCCCGGATCCCGCACACCGCGGGGGGAAGGCGAGGGTGTTTGTGGCGGGGGGGGGGGGGGGGGGCGGTACGGGGGGGGGGGGGGGGGGGGGGGGGGGCGGAGGCGGCACGGCCGGGGGGGCGATGGGGAGGGCGATCAGAGCCGTCACGGCGGTGTGAGGGTCGCGCCAGCACGGCATGAGCAGGGCGGGCATCTCCGGGGGGCCCAGTGCTTACCCACGAGCAGCAGGGCTCTCCTAATCCCACAAGTACTGTCAGCGTATATATATCTCTGTATACCATATAGAGGTGTATACAGTGGTCTGCAGTATATATACTATATCTGTATACAGAGGTCTGTAGTATAACTACTGGTCAAACCGCATTCCCGTGCCCTGCTCGCTCCCCAGACACAACAGAAACCACAGCAGCATTTGACTAGTATTCTCATTTGCCCAAGTTACGGTGACTGTGCAGGCTTGGGAACCAGGCTGAGGGGAACAAGAATTACCAGAAACCTCTCTTTCTGGTAACCTCTGAACCAGGGTGAGCGGAACATGAGAATTACCAGAAACCTCTAATATCTGATTTTGCTCACTGACCACACTGCAATTTGTATTCATGAAACCGTTGTGAAAATTTTTGTTAAATTTTCTTAATAAATTAGTTATATATTCAGCTTGTACTTTCTGGGGGGCATCACCCCTAAAAACTCTGGGGACTGTATGGAGTTTGCCCTGGACATGTTAAGTCTTTTAAACAGCAGCACACTGATCAATCTGTTTTGGAGCAGGTAAAGGGTGAGGAAGAGGAGGAGAACACCTTGGAAGTGAGAGAGACTAAAGTTAAGGGCAAAAGGTGAGTATCACCTTTAAAGGTCAATACTTAGATTGTGTATGAGGGTTTTATAATTGTCCCTGTGGTGAAGCAGAAATACCACCCCCATTCCACATACCTAGAGATCCTAGAGTCTTTTCTTCCTGAAAAGGTCCATTCTGTACTCAGGCTACATCCTGGGGTGTTACAGAGGCAGGGAGCATGGTTCACACAAGCAGCCAAACCCAATTCCTGCAGCTCAGGAGGCCTCAGTAGAAGTCACTCCCCTCCTGCTGATGCTCTTTCCTTGGGAGATAACACATGAGGTTTTAGAGGTTTTAGATCTCTGCACTGAGCCCAGCACAGTCATGCACAGCTGCTAGTCAGGGGAGCACCCTATGAGGAAGTGAATCTCTCAAATGCAACTCAGCTGCCTTTGTGGGGGCTCAGTTGTGCTTAGTCTCTTGCACTCAGTGCCTTGAGTAATGCCCTGGCCCTTTATTAAGGGACACCAGGTGAGAGAAACATTATAGCTGTGGTCATGCTCCTACCCTTTGCTCCCTTTTGCGCTCTCAGAGGGTTGGCAGTGGTGATTACAGGGAGTTTAAGTGCCCTGTGGCCGTGTGCCCAGAGCACCGCTCAGTCTGCCATGTGGGGAGCATCGCAGTGTGCTGGGTCCCACGGCCCAGCACAGGCTGTTGCCTGCTGCAGGGAGAGAGGATGCTACTGTTGGTATGAGGATCTGCACTGCCAAGCTTGGGATATTGTGCAGATGCCACAAGACTGGGCAGCCAGGTGGTTTCTGAGCTGAGAGGTAAAGGGTGCCTGTAAAGTGGCTCAAAAGCACAGTGCAGCTGGCTTTCAAGGGGGCAGTAGTTATGGAGTTAAGTTGCCAAGGTGGACCATAGTTTCTGACATGCCTGGATGTCTCGTGATCCTGCTCTTGGGCTGCCAGAATTGACACGAAGTCTGATCCTTATGGATTTGGTGAAGTCTGAATCCGTTCTGTAGAGCCTCAGTCCAAAACATTGCTAATTTTCTGGCCATTCCTTAATTTTAGACCCTG